TTGTTATTGTTGTAAAGATAACGGGATGAATCCTTTCCCATGAGAATGAAAATCCTGACAGCAACATGAATTCTGCACAACATCCAGTCTAATCCAATGAAATCTTTTTCCTATTCTCCATCCTATCTCTGTGACTAGCAACAAATTTTATGATTTCAAGTCAGAATTTTTCTCTTTTCCCAGCTGCCTTGCTTAATATTCAGCCTGATAAAGATGTCTAGAGAAATTAAAAACGTTTCATTGTTTTGTGACATCTTAGTTGATATTGCTCAACCTAGATTTTGGATTTACTATCCAGATCAATATAGTAATTCTAGTGTCAAAAATTCAGCAGTATTATAGCCATTATTTTTGGACCAGTTGGATTGATCATCCAGGTTAAAAATGAAAATAACTTTACTCAATCTGGATATAAAAATTTCCCTTTAAATAACAGATTTCCATTTCTGGAAGAATATAATGAGAACAATATTGGAAATTCATAGTGTCAGAATCAATTTATGTATTTTACAAACACTTTAGATGAGCAAGCATTGTAAGTTTGTAAACGAGCATAGCTGTATAGAGATACATGTTGATTTAATTTATCATAAGCCTACATTTTTTCATGAGGTCATTCAGGCAGCTGTATTAGACACCTCCACAGAGGAAAGGCTATATGCCTAATTTGACTAGTATTTGGAAATGGATCAAAAATATCTTTTTGTTGCTTTTGACTGTATATGGGTGTTTTATGTTTTCCTAGTTGTTATGGTATGTGTTGTACTTGTTCTTTTTGTCTTTCTTGTTTCCAATGTTTTTATCACCCCTCCCATATTAATCTTCACTCCTTGCCAGGTCTCATTACTCAACGAACCCTCTTCTTATGAACTTATCCTTGTTGCGGAGACAAAAGAAATGGGGGAATGTGGAGTTTAAAAGTTAAAATTCTTTAAAAGTATATTTTCTTAGTAAGACTTTGAGTTTTATGTTTAAACCATGTTTCCTGTGTCACTAGAAAACTGCATAATGTAGAACTAAGAATCCCTATTGGAATTCAGGATGCCTGTTGAAACTGTAATTCAGTTTAAAATGACTCTGAGTAATGAAGGGAAGACAAATAATAAGTTGTGGACTTGCATTTTGAGAAGAAGTATGGAAAAGTGTCACCTTTGAAAGGAATGTAGATCAGGGTTGATGACAAGACCAAGGTGCCACCCTCAAAGCTAGGTCTGGCTGACTACCTTATTGCCAATATAGACTCGGTGGCTTTTCCTGTTTATGTAATGTAATTACTTGTTCATGCACCATTTCTATCTCCTATAAAAACTTTTGTCAATCTATTGTTAGGACTCTCAGTTTGGCTGGGAGCCCAGTGATCATTGTTTTAGGGTATTTCAATGAATAACCTTTGTTTCAGATCTCCATTGCTTTGGTTCATATTCAGTGGATAACATTTTTTTCCATGACACAATATAGTGCCATGGAAAATAAGCATATATTAATTTAATGAAAATGTAAACCAAGAGGTTCTCAGTTTAAAACTTAGCAGACTTGTTTTTAAAACCCAATTCCATAAATTAATTTACCGTATTCAGAACTGATTAGATTTATACTAAGCTCATCAGAATTAACAGCTCTTCTCACTTCAATCTTTTTAGCCCAATTTCCAAATTTCATCAAAGCAGAATCCCTGCAAAGTATAAATGAATCAATAGCTTAATATTAAATATACAAAAATGTACAATTTTTAAAGTTTCAAAATGATTTAAATTTACTCACATAATCCTTTGTCTAAAAATCACATGATTATCATTATCGCCTATTACTAGGGTTGCATAGTGAGAATCTGGAGCAGTTCTTTTTATCTGCAGCTGTTCAAAGTTGGTTAATATGATTGTCACTATGATTTCAGCTACTGTTTCATTGTACTTTGCCAGCTTGAAAATAAATGACATACAATTCAAAAATAAAACTAACTTTGGAATATGATATGATTATAAATTCATATTGGCTGGAGTCAGATACCACGCTAAGCTAGTTCAGTGTTATGACACATGTATAATAACATCATCCCACAAATGCCACCATTACATATTTGCATCCCAAAGTCTGATACAAAAATTGTAGCATTTGTATGATGATGTTGTCATTCATGTCATCATTTCCCTTGCCCCACTGTATATACCCACGGTATTAACCAACATTTAGAAAAGCAAGGCATATTCAAACTCAGGAGAAAACATGGATGGGGAGGAGGTGCCTCTTGAAGAGTTGCTATATCTAGTTCCCAGATCATTCAGGCTATTTATGTTGCTTTGCTGGATTCATGGCCCTTGAGATCTGGTGCATTCTTTGTACCCTCCATACCATAGAATTAAATAATCCCTTGCAGAGTTAGACAATAATGCTTTAAGAGAAAGATCACTCATTAGTGATGTGGCAGACAGCAGGACCAAATGGTGTTATCTTGCTACGTTGTAATGAAGCATCTGCTCTTCTTGCTACACAGCTCTGCTCAGAGCCATGCTGTGACTGTTCCCTTTCAGTAAATATTTATACTACAGTCAACTTCCTGCATGAACATTTAGCTATTACAGGATAGTATATCATGATCCCAATGCTTATTCACAAACACTAAGTTATGAATTAAGTATGGTATAAAGGTATATCCCCAAAGCTACCACTGAGTTATCAGAATAGAAGCAAACTGACTACTCAGTTAAGACTGAGGAAAATTGAGTTAAACATCAGCTTTGGTGCTAAGTTTGCTGAATAGTATTAAAGAGTATCTGCACCACCTGCTGCTCATAGGCATCAGAAGCATCTGGTGTAGTCTACATCTGCTCTTGGATGGACTTTAATTAAAAGTCTCATGAAAAGTACTAACAAATCTACAAAATTAATTAATTAATTAGGATGCCACCCCACCCCCAACGACTCTGGGCAATACCTATGGTCTAGAATAAAAATAGACATAATGGACAAAATGATACCTTCAAAATTGTCAGTTCAAATATTAGGCTAGGGCACTAACTCTCCAGCTGTTGGTGGTCAAACTGAACATCTGTTCCAAAAAATGTTCTATTCATGAAACAGATCAGTCAGTCCAAGTAGCATGGTATCTAATCCATTGTTATTTTGGGGGTCTGCTAATCTTTAATTTTTCTTGAACTGTTTTATGTGTGTTACAAACATGAAAAGGGCTATACAGAGATATAGGAATAAATCTATAAAAGACAAACATTTATTGACAAAATTTTAGACATCATTTCTCAATCTTTCCAATTTATGATTAGAAATCTTCACTATGGGCTTTCTATTCTATCACTTTCCCTACCCTACTAGCTACTACATTTGACTCCATGAAATCCTCATGAACTATTGGCTCCATAGTTTGAAGACTTTTTTTTGTAATTATTTAATGCAGGACATAAATCTCAAGTGTACTTAATGAATATTTGCAGAATTTAGGAAATAAAGTATCTTCTAAGTTTTCTTTTCAATTCAGTTGTTATGTGGTGGGAGCACAGAACAGAAATAATGGAACAAAAATGTACCTGCTCAATGTTAAGTTCATATTTTGGAAGGTGTGCTACTGATTCTTTAATCTGATTTCCAAAAGGAGGATGTCTGTTCAAAATCTGAAAATAGCATTCATATTAATAGCAATTCAGATAGCATTCATATTAATTCAGAACATACACTAACATTTACTAAACACCCTAACATAGCACAATATTTACAAAACATAGTCTTCCTGGTATTATAATGTTACCATTTTTCTTTAAATTAATCAAAATTGCAACAATACCATTCTGGGATAATTTGTGGCAGTTTATAATCTCGATTAAGTATAATAAAGCACTCAATGTTAAAATAAATAAATAAATATTTAATAAACAACAGTAGTCTAAAGATACTGTTTCTGCATATTAAAAATTCAGCACAAGGTAAACTTTGATTTGTTCAAATTATAATCTGCCTTTGCTTTAGGAGCTCAAAACAGAGTACATCATGTTCCCGCCTCCATTTTTTTCCCCACAACAAAAACTCTTTTAGATTGGTTGGGCTGAGAGAGACCAAATCAAAGTTACCAATGAGCTTCAGTGACTGACAGTGCACTTGAACCTGGATTTCCATAGTGCCAGTTCATTCGACTTTGCAAGGCAGCAGTAGGCTATGTGCCTGCAGTCGTTTCCTTTGGTACCTAGTGGGTCCGTCCCCACCTGACTTTTTTATTATTTCCAACCCAATGGAATGTTGGAAAGAAATGAGATAGAGGGGTCTGCTCTGCATGACTTCCCTATCGGGTTTTAGTTTTGTTTAATTATAAAAAGGAGAAAACTGCATGCTGCAAATTGCACTTACCACATCACTGAACACAGGATACATAGGTATATGTTTTTGTTTGTGCATGGGAGGGAGGGCTGTAAGTCCAGTTCTCTTTTTTGAAACGTACTCTCTTACCCATAGAACTGTTAAAGGTTATTGGGCTAATGCAGAGGCTACAGAGAGCAGCATAGAGCAACATCACCAGCCTGCCCTCAGAAAAAGGAATACTGTGTACATTATAGTAGCCATTTTATAGAGAGGGAAGCCCCCCACTAGCAACCACTTCATGTGAGCACCCAGAAATATTGTAAATGGCCCCTGATTCCAGAATGGTGGCCAGCCCTCCTTTAAGGCATCATGTATCCTTGACAATACAGTGTAAGTAAGAAAACAGAGGTCTGTCTTGTTTAGGGCACATCCACACAAACCTCTAACACTGGCTTGAAAATGCCTTGCTGAATGTTCATTAAAGGTATATCTCAATGATAGTCTTCCCCTCATCCCCAGCCTATGATTGAAGCAACTAACTTCAGATTTATACAAACAGATGAGGAAATGCTGTTTTCAATCTAATCCCAACACAAGCCTTGCATGATATATGATGTTTTGGCAGCTTCTATACTGATGACACAGTTATGGGCAGAGATCTGGTCAGGGAATGAAATCCAATAGTCCCTGCAATGTAACTTGCCCAGCGGGAAAACTCTGAGCACCATTCTCCAACCTCATTAATGAGGCAGAATAAAGGCAGCTATGTAAAAAGAGCAAATATACTCTGGCCTTTTATATCCCACCATACAGATTGGAGGACAGAACATAAAACTGGCTATCTGGATATGCCTTTAGTATGATCTAAATGAACGTCCCATATTCAACCAGCTACTTACTTTCCTTTCTTACTTTCTGCTATTATTGTTTTTCCCCTCCACCAATTACTATATTGCAGTTATCCACTGCCTGAATTTATCAGATGAAATAAAAATTGTAAACACTATGTTTATATACTACAGCTGTAACACATATTTACATTTTTGTTCAACTCTTCTATCAGTTACAGATGATTTTGGAATTTGAAACACTGCAGTGTGAATTCCTTTTCTGTTCTCCTCATCTCTGATACCTTACCATACTAGTATCTGGACTTGAAGAATTATGAATTCCTGGCAATAGAATGTTTTGAACATACTGAGATCATGACTCAGTATTTTTTTTCCAGAACATTATACAGAATTCTAGGAAGGGACTAGGAATGAATCCAGTATAGTGTGAACAGAAAGTCACTTGTGTTACAGGCATTTATCTACCCCTCCTCCCTATATAGGCTATCAAAAAATCTGGAGTAGTTTTTGAAAGTATGTGGAAGGTGATATAGGAAACAGACCTCCCTTATTACCACTTCTGGAGATGGAAATACAGCTGTCTGAAAAAACAGCTGTATGTTCCTTCAAGATATTTGAAGCCTTTATTTAGAAAACAGCAGAATACAAATCAGGTAACATAATATGTGAATAAATGTAGAATAGTACCTGTAATACAAGAAATAAAAATTACAAAATAAATACCAATTCAAGTTCTCTTGCATTTGTATCTTCTATTCTTTTAAAGGATGTCAGTCCTGCATTCATCATTGCATTTGATAAAGTTATACCTGTTGAAAATGGAAATGTGTTAAATCTTAATTTTTCCAGTTGCATTTCCTTATAACTTATCTTAACTGGCAAGCAAATATAAAATATCATTTAAACTAAGCATGGTAATATCTACTCTGAAATATGTTTCAAAATGGCCATCTGTCAGAGTGCTGAGCCTGGTGGTTTAGTGTTTGCCTCTGTAGTTGGTGAGGTTTGGCTGGACTGCAGTTTGGGTGGTTCATCCCTGGAGGTGTTTTGGACTGAAGTCCAGGGTAATGGGAAAAGCGCCAACAGCAGCACAGATTGTTGGTGAAGCCTGAAGCACCAGCAATATCCAGCTGAGTGGCTGGAGCATGGTGTGGTGGCTGGCAGTGGTTGTGAAACATAGCCATGTTTTTGCCCTGCTCTGGGTCATGTTGCCATGGAGAACCTTGGAAGAGCTGGTGCTGCCGCAGCAACTTTAGTGGCACCAAAGATCAGCTGTTTGTGGATCAGCTGACTGGTGGCACTTAGTGTAACACAGGAACTGCAGCAGCTTCGAGAAAGAGGCAGTGGGAACATTAAGACACCAACTCTGCCCTCCATTTTGCTTTCTTTCTTGCTTGTAACTTTGGAGCAGTGGCTTCTCTGTCTGGGCTGACACAATTGAATTGAAGTGGCAGTTTGTTGTTGTTGTTCAGTCATTAAGTCATGTCCGACTCTTCGTGACCCCATGAACCATAT